GCTCAAATGCGTTTTAACCTCCGTGACGACTTTCCACTGCTAACTACAAAACGCGTATTCTGGCGGGCCGTTGCAGAGGAGCTACTTTGGTTTGTTCACGGCCAGACTGATGCGAAAATACTAAAAGAGAAAAATATCCACATTTGGGACGGGAATAGTACTCGAGAGTTTTTGGATAAATGTGGTTTTCATAATCGCGAAGAAGGTGATTTGGGCCCCGTGTATGGATTTCAGTGGCGCCATTTTGGAGCCAAATATCGAACATGCAACGATAATTACTCGGGTGAAGGCGTAGATCAACTTCAAAATGTAATTGATACAATCCGAAACAAACCGAATGATCGTCGCATAATAATGTCTGCGTGGAATCCCCTTGACATTCCGCAAATGGCACTACCTCCTTGTCATTGTCTAGCACAATTTTTCGTTGCAAATGGTGAGCTGTCTTGTCAGTTGTATCAACGTAGCGCTGACATGGGATTGGGCGTGCCATTCAATATCGCCTCTTATGCTTTGTTAACATATATGATTGCACACGTGACCGGACTTCGTCCCGGAGAATTCGTGCACACTCTTGGTGATGCCCATGTCTATAACAATCATATTGAACCCTTAAAAGAACAGATAGCACGTAAACCCCGTCCATTTCCCAAACTAGTTATAAAACGGGAAGTGAAGAACATAGAAGATTTTACATTCAATGACTTTGAAGTTCTCGATTACAAACCCTACCCTAAAATATCGATGGAAATGGCCGTTTAGAATAAGTTAATTATTACAGAAACATTTTAAATAATATATGCTAATAATTTTATTTCAGATTTTTTAAGCTGTAAGCCCAAAAATATAAATGGAAGGTTTCCACAACGCCTTAGTACTAATCCTGGCTTTTTTAATTATCAAAATATAGTTTATAATTGGACCAGGTCGTCCGTACAGAAGCAGCCCGATTTGATATGGATTTGCTTTACTGTTACGAAGATCCCCAGCGATTAAATTTTAGACAATACTGAAAACCGCAAATTCATCCGTTGTCTTGAAAACGTGAAGAATTATTCTTAGTACAACCAGAAGTTTATGAAAAAAAA